TATACATAGTTTTCTCAGTGCTTTATTACCCATCATCAAACTCTACATAATCAAGTTTAGAAGCAAGATAAAATATTTTAGGTTAACATGCTAAAAACCACATTTTAACATAAGTAAAAGCTTTCTCAGATGACACATCTGCTTTATTACATGGAGCTAAAATGGACAGTTTCATCAAGTATGTCTACTACTTTTACAACTTTCTGCAAGGTTCCTGTACTCATAATCGACTCCAGATGTATAGAAGGTTGAAGAGAAGACCTCTCTCACAAAATGGTTTGGTGGCGATCTCTACTGTTTTGCTAATTTTGATGCTGCTTTCATGCCAGGGTTCGACAATCATTCTGTCCCTCTCCCATTCAATTACTGAATTTGGATGCTCAGGGGAATATCTATCAAAAAATGTGTTATTTCCATTGATTAGCTTGTTGGTAGAGTTTATCAATAACTTTTTTATATTCAGCAATTCTTATCGATAGTTTTCTAAATGCTGAACCGATGTATTGAGTTTCTGTGCAAGTATCTTCATTGCAAATCAGGATAGTATATACACCTGAAGTACCTGTTAATCTATCTGATTTTAATTTCAAGACAGATGGAGCTGAAGTGATAGAAAGTTTATAACCAAACTGTTTCAGAAATGGAACTGTGTGGGGGTGATCATGTTGTAAAGGAATGTTTCAACAAATGTATTTTTATTGGTTAGTCAAAGCGGTTCTCAACCTTTTGACTAATGCATAGCATCTAAACAAAAACTGAAAACCTTCAATACCACCACTCTTGAACAAAGCTCAGCTCACATAAATTTACGAGTGTTAGAGAAAAAAACTCAATCAGGATGTTGTGGTTTTAATTTTTGAATTTAATAGTTAAAACTACTTTGCTTCTTTGCCACTACTTCTTCCACCACCCATTTTTCTCTTGCATACCACCAGTTGAGAACTCGTAGATTAGTCTATATTTTATATTTTAAGATCCCCTTGCATTATCGAGAAGTTGTTTCATTTATGGTAACCCGAATATTTCACACTGAATGTTATGGAAACCCTATCATGACGCGATTAGTTGTAATGCACGATTGCGATTTCGACTGTGGAGAAAATTTTTGTAAGGGCTTATTTATGCATTGGATATTGGTTAGGAAGTATGCTTCTTAATTTGTGCTTGACACCTTAAAATGCCTACTGGTGGTATGATTAACCTGAAGTTTCAGTAAGCCTTTAAAACGAATGAGAAAGAAAACATTGATTGACTGGTGTGTAAATGAAGAATTAAATGGCTTCATTCACTTCCCAGTAAATTACATTGCAAGATTTAAGGATTTGGAAAACCCGAGGAGCTCACATCAACACTATGGAAGGTACGTGGGATGTAATAAAAAGGGATTTTCAAAAGAAATGCCACTGATAGTCTGGCAGTACAGAGGATATTTTTATTTTTACTTTTGTGAATTTATGTGGCAACAGCAGTATACAGATTCTAGTTTAGATCATTTTAAATAGTTTAAATAAGTCTATATTTCCTTTTTGTACTGCGTAGATTAGATAACATGTATTTCTAGTCTCATGTTGTTTCCTTGTTTGATTTAAAATGGAGTTTATCGAGATTATATAATTTTTGTTTTAATTGTGTTTTACTGCATTGTTTTTGATACCATTTTACTAAGGAGGACATTGGACGTAAACAGGAATGGCAACAAAAAATGCCAATTTTCACCAGGAGACCTATTTTTATATGAAATATATTTAGGAAATATATTTATATATTAATAAAAATATTAATATTTATTAATAGTAAATTATTTTATTAATCAAAATTATATTATTAAAAATAATTAAATTATTATTAATAAATAATGCATATAAAAAAGATTAGATACACTGATAAAGGGAACTGGAAAAGTTGTCTTGAACTTTTTCATAAAATCTGACACTTCGAATAGAGCTTCACTTCAAGTGGCTTTACTGGAAACACTAAATGTGTCATCTAAACTATAAAGTTACTAAGCTGTTAATTCTTTCTGTTAGGACACTTTTTATGTACTGTTAACATAAAAGCGAGCTGTTGTCATGTCTTTAGAATCCAGCTGCAGCTATTTCCAGCTGTCACAAACCTGTACATTAAATTAATTCTGAAATCATTTCAGAATGCTACAAACTAGGACAGCAGAGTCAAATGCAATTTACAAGTTTTAAATAGCCTATCCACAGCTTCTGCAGATGAATGTATTATCATTATGTATTCTAGATGAAAAGAATACGAATCATTTTCTTTAATCCTTTTCATTTTTCAAAGGAAAATTAAACATTTGAGTTCACTTAAAATGTTACTCACCTTTTAAAATAAATTTCAAAGAAAGACATGTTAAACAGCAGATTCGGAAAAGATATGGTTGTATTAAGAATAATAGTGTTTAGGTGACTAGTGATTGCAAATTTGTTGCGTATAATACTATGTTGAATAATATAGGTAGTAATACTAGTTCTAAAATGCAAACGTTTAGAAGACATGTATTTTTCTTTCCTTTATACAGCTCTACTAACATAAGCTTGTAAACAAAAGAGCAATCGGTACATACAACGTATCACAGTTCCATGCACTCGGTAAACCAACGGTCTCACGTGTTTAAACAGACTTCAGATTTTCATGAGGTCAGTGACCATTCATATACAAAACATTATTTATTTCAAAACTCACCTGCTTGACAATACCGTAGCCCGCCTGAGCTTGTGTAGGTTGTTGAGAAGTCATGATAAAAACTTGGATTAGTCAACAGGTGAATTTAAATAATTTTAAACACGTTGGCCAATATGGTCGATAATCATAAAGTTTTCTAAAATATAAATTAGAATTTAACAACGCGCTAACAAACTATAGACATTTTCTGAAATATATGCTGAAACAAACTCGTATACCAGCCGCCTGTCCATATATACTGTTACATACACATATAATTAATATAAAACGCGAGGATTAACGCGGACCTACACGCACGTTCTACAAGCAGTTCCACAAATATGTGTAACAGATGAGATGATGTGGCGCAAGTTGAGGTGTTCAGTTTGAATATCAATTCTGTCATTTTAAATACTTTCACTCAAAACAGATCAGTTTCTTAATTCAAAACAGATGACAAAATCAGGGAATAATTCTAAAATTATAATTCCACATTAGCAGTTTTTCTTTCTTTCGCAAGCACGGGATATATATGATTTAAGAAAAGTAAACTTGGGAAATATAACTGAAAATGGAAAGGATTTATATGCAATACGTAACTGAGCAAGTGATTTCCAATAGCAGACCACTGAAATAATTCGAATAGGATTCAGTTCGATTGCTAGAGTATCAAAAATATCCCATCGTAAAACATCAATTTATTCATTTCCTTCCCCAAATTTATAAATTTGACATTTTAAGGAATTATTTTTAATGGATGTTATCAGCTCTAAAAATTATTTTTATCATTTTATTTCTCATTGCATAAAAAACAAAGATAGATGCTATTTTATACAAAAAAATAACTCACAGATTTAACAAATTGGGGGTATTTCTGTATAAAAAATAATTAATTATCATTTTTAATTAATCGTAACGCCAAAATATCCTAATAGCCAGGGCCAAGACATAAGCATATTTGTATTTTGACAAAATCAGAAATCATGTAAACAACCTGCGACAACCAGGGACTGATTCTCTCAGGAGGAAGTGGGACATGTGCACCATTTGCACGGTGTCCTCCAATCTCCAAATAGCATTCTTTAAATATGCAAATGTTTGTGTACTTTTTCAATTTTGTGTTTTGAAACTATAAAATTAGAAGTGGAATCCGGCAGCAGAATTGATTTCTTCCACATTTGAAAGTCTGAATTTTTAAATCTACATTTCTTTCATACACTTGATTATTCAGTTCATAAACAATTTAACTACATTCATTTCCTCATATCTGTGTAAATGAATACAGAATTGTATAAGCATCTTTATTCTTAAATTTTAGCATCTATAAGTGGGAAACATGTACAGTAGTCAGGATACACGTATTAGAAAGAACGCAGATTCACTTGAAATTCTGAATATGTGTTTTTTAAATATCTAAATTCTAAATATGTAAGCACTTTTAAATGTACCTCCGTGTAAAGAAAGTTAAACATGATCGTGTATTTGAAGATCTGTGTTAAAATCACAGTGATTTTTTTTTTTTTTTAACCAAGCTATATGTTTCTGCTAGAAAATTACTGGAATTATTATAAACCCAAATTTCATTGCTTTTATTTGCCAGAAATGTGTTATTACTGTGAGATATCTAAAATTTTAAATATCCTAAGTGAACCAATTTTCTATGCAAAGCAAATACCTTAATTAGATTTCTTTTTAATTTTAATTTATTTTTCGACCTTGAATATCCTGTATGTCTTCATTACCTCAATCTATCTGCTAAAATTATGTGTATGTTTTTAATGTAAAACCGCCCTTTTTTCCCCATTTTATCAATTTACCCTGACAAAATATACTGAATTTAAATGAAGCGATGTAACGTTTACAATGATCGCATTTCCAGAGAGGCAGTGGCGTAGCTAGGATGGCGCAAGGGGGGGGACATCTGTCCCTGGGCGCTGGAAACTCTAGCTACGCCCCTGCAGATAGGCCATTCTCCTAACATCATCATCATCAATACTGCTAGTTGCCATGGTGACATCGCGAAGTTCTGTTTGAATTTCGTATACGCAATGTGTTTTCGATGCTTCGATTCTTCCGTGCAATGACCATCGTTTCGCCTAACTCCTCACTACTTTGGACTTATTTCATTGTTTGAACTACTGTTTACACCTACAGATATGCTACTTATACGTTAGGCTATTTATATTAATCTGGAATAGGGCTTCGGCCACCTTACAACAAGTGAGCATCATGACAACTAATACCAAAGGTACTCTTAAATTTTTCTTTAAGGAAAGATGGTAATGTTTTTTACTTAACCTTTAACTACTGTGACTTAAATTGTCGCATAACTACTGTGAGCGGTCTCTCAGACCGCTTCTGCTAAACAAAAATAAAGATTTTTTTTTTTTTTCGTTTTTTTTTATTATAAATAGTATTTATTTATATATTTAACTTTTCATGAGATATAAAGCAAGTTTTATTTAAATCAGTTATTAATAAAATTAACGAGGATAAATTTCCTTCGCTTACGTTATCTGGGTATAAGAAGTAAATTTTAAAGAATTTATAGTCTGAGAATGCAGTCTTTTATTCCATTGAATTTCAGTCAAAAAATAAGCAGTCATATATGATTCAAGTTTAAAATATGAGGTTTTATTTTAAAACTACGAAATTAAAGGCTTATGAAAGTTATAGATTAAACTGAGATATAGTTATTGTGTTATAAAGATATTAATAGAATTATAGATTGTAATATAGCATGCTTTTTAATTTTAAAAAATAAAATAGGAAATATAGTTTGAAAATTTATTATTTAATCTTTGTTTTTTTATTCAAGATCAGCATTAGATAGTCTCTCTTAAGAAGGAGCATGGTACTGATGTATTTTTCTTTTGAACATCAAATTTGGTGGAGTTGCTGTTTGGTTTGGTTTATTTAATTATGGCAAAGCACTCAAGGGTTATGAGCCTAAGGAATGCCTTTGTGGAGGACTTTTTAAGGTCTCGTATAACTGTCTCATATACATGTTACTCATGGGGAAAGGCCTTGCTGCTAGTCTGTTCACTGGAATTCAAACCTTGGAATGAACTACCAATGTTTAGCTATGCTACCATTTGGCTGCTCAAAATTTGCAGCAACTGTTCGTATAGAATTCTGATAGAACTAACACTTCCTTATTTAGTAAGCAGTCAGTAAACCTGCTTCGTTTTTGTGTTTCTTAGAAAGGCTTTTAATTCATTTCTACTATTTTGCCAACCCTCTGGTTTTACCGAGAGTTTGACTTACTATGAGTATAAACTTCCCACAAGTAAAGTTTCATTCTATTACTGTTTTGTTGGCCATAGTCAACTGACCATATCATGACAATTAATACACACTTTTTTTATGGTAGCCTCCCATAACTTTGAAAATGAGCTACTGCTTGTTGTTTTGTAGGAGGCAAGTTCAAAATTTGGTTAATCTTTGGATTATGGTAACTTGGCGATTATTTGGCGACCAACCCTGCTACAGCAACCTGTTAGTTTTTGTTTGGACACCATTTTGTTTTCACGAAGTAAAGGGGCTTGTTTTTTTTACTAACTTTTTTCCCCAACAATCTGCTTAGCCAATTACACCTTATGCTGAACTTTTATGGAAAAAAGTGCTTAATCATGACGAAGTAGGTGTGAAATTGAGAAGGAAAGGAATCGCAACTGTTGCCACGTTTTAAGTTTGCACAACATGTAACTAGTGTACATGTAACCTATTTCACTTAAAAAAACATCCCAGATTGCACATAAATGGCATTGCGCCACCTCTTGAACTTTATCCATGTACGCTGCTAAAGTCCTAGCTAGTAACCTTTATCGCCTTACCAAAATGTCGCCAAACTACCTGTTACCATATTCCAATGATTAGCCCAAAATTTTAATCATTTTGTTTTCTAAAATGCAAGGGAAAATACAGCAATAACAGTTATTTTATATCTATGTTCATAAAAACAAATGGTGGCTTATCGAAAATCGATGGGATTACAACAAACAAAAGGTGTTATCTCACTCTTATTCACAACTGGCGTTAAATCATGCTTTTTGATAATAGTTTCACAGTAGGCGGGTCAATGTGTAAATATCAAGAACAATAACAAATGCACTTCTTTCAGTTTTCTCTAATTGTAAAACTTTAATTTTTTATGTTTGCTGTTAGAAATTTTTTCACATGTACTTTCTTAATACTTTAAAACTTTTACTATGATTAATTTTCTATCAATACTGATGTACTTGTTGCATTCATTTACTGACAGTTATATAAATTTTCATATCTTTTGCAGATGAAATGTATAAACCCGTATCCTTCATTTAATATACTTTGATTTATAGTTTGGTATATTTATCTAAACAACAATATATATTAAATTTTTTGCAAGATTCCAAATATCTGAAGCTGTGTATTTATGATAATTTATTGATGTTAGGAATCTGCAGATGATATATGGGTAAAAATGTATTTATGGGAGGTGATAATTAGTGATTTTTTTATGGTATATGAACACCCAGTTTGTGCAATTCTTTGACTTGTTATTTTGGCTTTGTGTAGCAGCGCTATACAAACCCAAAATAACAAGTCAAAGAACTGCACAAACTCTGTATCCATGTACACATCTACCTTTTTTGACTTTAAAAAAAAAATCAGAGAATTGCACAAAGTAGGCATTGCACACTCCCTTGACTTTTTCCATGTATAAATCGATCTATATTCACTTAAAAAGTCAAAGGAGCAGCCAACATTATTTACAGTTTTCCGTGTCTTCAGTCAAACAAATTTCCTTAACAGCATCCAAAAACTTCCTAAAATTATCTGAGCCTAGAATCTATATACTAGTGTTGCCACATAAATTCACAGAAATAAGAGCAAAAAATATCCTCCGACCACACGCATTTCGTTCCTACAAACAGGACACTTATAATGGCTACTAAATAAACCTTCATTTACGCACCAGTCAATTAATGCTTTTTTCTCCTTTCATTCCAAATCATACGTAAACTTCAAATTAATCTTACATTCAGTCATTTTACCATATAAACCACAAAATAACAACGTACTTCTTATCCAAAATCCAACACACAAACACGCCTTTCTAAATCTTTTTCCATCATTCAAATTCACCGTAATCATGCAACCAATTATGTCATAAAGGGTTTCCATAGCATTCAACTACTCAGGTTACCATAAATGAAACAACAACTTGGCGATAAATGAAAGAACACCTTAGAGATAAACAAAGGGCACCCTTAAATCTACTCTAACCGTTATAGGTTTCTTATGTCAGTAAATTTTGTAAACTGATCCCATTTCAAAATTGCATATATTTTTCTTTTTCTAAGCTATCCTGATACTGTTATGATGGTTCATTACAATACAAAGTCCGAGATCTGGACGTCCAATATTCGGAATGATCTAAAATTCAGACCTCAAAGGCCAATACCATCTTTATATATATATATATATTTGTGTATGGATGCATGTGCATTTGATTCATTTCGTCTAGCAGTCCTCAAGTATTTTATTATCACAAGTAATCTAATCTTATCCATTGTATATGGCTAAACTCTTTTATAACATAAATGTAGAGCATTGTGTGCCTGAGCACATTTTACTCTCATAGAATATTAATAATTTTAATTTGTCATTAATTAAAATTTCCCATGTGTGGGATTTTATTCTGTTAATAAATATAAAAGGTACTACAGTCAAAAGTCGTTAACCCGGACTCGTCGGACTTCGGCGATTTCCGATTATCGATTTTCCGGATTATAGATCATCAGTTTTAAATCTCGTAAGATGGCATGCAGAAAATTCTAAAATTAAAAATATGAAACCGTAATTTATGAAATAAAGAACAATTATGATCTAAAGGGTATCAAATTTGCAAAAAGAAAAAGCTTAATATTTATTTGTTTACTTTATTAACATTCTTTCAATGTAAGTTGTTAAGTTGTTCGTTCCATGTGATAATACTTTCTCTTTAATTCTATTAAACAGACATAATTCTTGTTTAGTTACAAAGTTACGCTGTTCAGTCCTATAATTGCTTGTGTCGAAACACCGACTAAGTTGTCATCGAAATTTTTTCGTTTTCACTAAACCTCTGTCACTTTCTTCGCTATCGGAAGCGAATTATAATACGAGGAATTGTTTTTAAATCATATCAAAGACGGAGCATCGAGATGAAATACTAATTTTTGGTAAGGAATTATAACCAAATAAAATAAAACATCTGTCCTGAAGATAAGGATAGTGTTGACAGATCAACTTCCAATTCATTACGCCGGGCGGCGTTCCCCCACCGAGCATCGTGAAATTGATAAACAGATTTCGGATTTCAAACATACTTTAGCTTTTAGATCCTTTACATATAACAAATATATATGGGAAATTCTATTTGATATAATCGAAAGTTTAAGCTTACTTTTATAAAATTGCTACAGTTGCAAAAAAAAAATAAGCCCGGATCCAATTCAAATTAAGGAGCACGCAATCATCAACATTAGTGAAATAGTAATTAAATATTTAGCTTTCGCCATTATACATAAAACGCGCACGCAAAACGTATTCTGCACTTGCGCACACTCATATGCGCAGTTGTAAAAGGTCTTACGCGCACGCGTAAACACCTATGCGCATGTGTCAACGCGGCGCATGCACAGAAAGTTTTTAGTTTTGAGGTCCGGATTATAGAACATTCCGAATTATGGGTGTCCGAATTAACGACTTTTGACTGTATTCAGTTTCGAGGGCCATAAAAAATTGCCAAACTATTGTTGATGCCAATGCTGCCAAAAATAATTGCGGCAAGAAAGGAAGTATAATAGTAAATAACTATCTAAAATCGATGTTTTAATTTAGATGAAAGGTTAATTTCATATCATACTTTTTTATTATTATAATTTATATGAAAAAGGCTAAAGATGACTGAATGGAAGCATAAGAGTAAATAACTATTTCAGATCATTATCATAATTTATATAAAAATTGCTAAACATAACTGAATGGATGCCTGCATCGCTATTTCGCTACCGACTTATCGCTAAAGCATAATTTCATCTCGTAGGTTGTTCAAACGTAATTCTCTATAATGAATGATGCCTTTTCTTTGAAAATATTCTCGGTAAAGTGGAGAATCGCTCATTTATTTGTTTGCCGCTTTTTACAAGGGTTAAAAACAATTGAATTTTTGTCAATTTTCTTTAACTTTTTAAGTGCAAATAGGTCTATGTGTACATAGATAAAGTCAAGGGTGTGCACAGTGCCATTTTTGTGCAATTCTAGGATTTTTTTTTTTTAAGTGAAAATAGGTCGATGTGCACATGGATACTGAGTATGTGCATTTCTTAAAAACGCATCAAGCAATGGGTGATTCTGCACTTTACCCAAAATTCTGTTGCCAGACTTTTCGTCATGGGTAATTCCCAAATTGTTAAATCCAGAGGATATCGAAAAAGGATTTAAAATCAAAAAAGGATTTAAAAATTAAGCTAGTATGTCAATGGCGTCTTAAGAAATATAGAGCTATATAAAGCTACGCAATCTGAAATCAACGTGTACGCTAGATTTGGCGCGCTGTTTAAATGGGCGTGTTTGCTAGATTTGGCACTTTTGCGCATACATTTTCACTGCAATTTTTTACGGCCCTCAAAACTGATTAGTACTATATAAAATAATAAATTTCCACTTTATCAACTTTATCAGCTGTGAGGAAATAATTTTCAGTATTATTTATGCTTAACACTTCTACTTTCAAAAGTAACATTTCTATGAAATGTTTCATAAGCCAAAGTGGTATTAAAAGGAGAGATAATTTCCATTAATTTACATTCGTAAGAAAATCAGACTTTAGAAATAAGCCACCAAACTGTACAAAACAGTTTGGGTAGGAGATAATATAATCACTATTTCTTTAGTAAATAAATTATATATATATACATTCAAAAGTTTTTAATGCGGACTCGTCAGGACTTCGGCGATTCCAGATTATTGGTTTTTCTGGATTATATATCATCAGTTTAAATCTGGTAAGATCGCATGCAGAAATTATAAAATTAAAAATATGAAACCATAATTTATGAAATAAAGAGCAATTATGATCTAAAGGGTATCAAAATTTACAAAAAAAAGCTTTTTATATATTTGTTTACTTTATTAAACAATTCTTTCAACGTGCGCATGCGTAAAGCATACATTACGCATACTCGAAATTAGAAAATTGCAACCAGAAAACTATTTGATGTGTATTCGTGATATTTATAATGATGAGGAATTTGATTTAAATCATATCAAAGATGGAGTACATCAAGATGAAATACTACATTTAGTAAGGAATTATAAGCCGAAAAAAATAAAAACATCTGCCCTGAAGATAAGGATAGTGCTGACAGATCAACCTCCACTTCATAGCGCGCTGCATCGTCCCCCCCCTCCGCAGAGCAGCGTGAAATTGATAAACATATTTCGGAATGATTAGAGAATCAAAGGATATGCCTTTATCCATTTTTTGCAGCAATTCCACTTTTTGTTTGATGGACATCGAAACATGCTTTCGCTTTTTGTTAGATCCTTTGGTAGCTCCAGAATCAGAAATTCTTTTTGACATAATCGAAAGTTCAAGCTTACTTTTATAAAATTGCTCTTACATTCTGCAAAAAATAATAAGCCGAATCCAATTAGAAGATTAAGGAACAATGCAATCTTCAACATTAACTGAAATAGATAATTAGATAATTTTAGCTTAGCTTATACCATCCATTATACATTAAACGGGCATGCGTAAACATATTATGTGCATGCGTAGATGCATATGCGTATGCGTTAATGCAATATGCATTGACGCATGCGCAGAAAGTTTGTAGCTTTGAGGTCTGGATTATAGATCATTTTGGATTATGGACGTCCGGATTAAAGACTTTTGACTGTAGATATATATATGTAAGATGTAACAAAATACATATGGCTGCTTTAAGAAATGATTGACGACCTTAAAATTAACTATTCGAGATTTTATGTTGTCCCCTCCCAAATTCATCTGTTCTCCCAAATTCAAGATCTTTCCATGTTACATAACAATCTAAAATTAACCAGTCACAGATTAGCTGTACTTATGCACCATACTTAGTATAAATACTCTTTGCAAAACAACTACGTCATTGCTTTCCCTAGCTTCTGCCATGCCAACATTCATGCTGATTTGCTTCCCTATCTAAAATGCCTACATCATACCTTTAAAAACCAGTGTATATAAAAATTATTATAGTTAACTATGACTGGATAAATACCTTGTCTACCAAAAGTGAGCTGATGCAGATTATCATGGAATAAAGTTGTGTTTAGAAACGGCCATGCTGGAAGTTGCTGGTTTCTGCATCTATCTCTCTAACTGTGCAATTGAAATGCTACATATATATATATGTATTTCTCTTTTTTTAATGATCTAAATAAGATGCCATTGAATGTAAAAGAGTAAAATGAGTAATGATACAAATTTAGCTGATAAATGTTGTTTAAAACAAGTTCCTCATAAGTAAATCTGAAAAACTGACCACTCATAGGATTAATAAATTAAATATATATTTTATTTTTTAAAATATCTGATTAATATAATTTTAAATGATACTTTCTGATTACCTGCTCCCTTTCTGGATACAATATTTGATAATATTGCCTTGTTTTGATGCCTTTTTGAGTACACATGCTACAGCAGCCAACTGCCACATGCGCATACCATACATATGCTCGAATTCACACAGGTTCATACTTTTTGCATTTTGCCAATATTTCATTTAACAGCATCCAGTGGTTATATAAATGTAAATATTGGCCATATAAATTTCTTTTCTTTCTCATGAAATTTCTTGTTTCTTATGCAGTGCTACTTTTTATTATTATTTATGAATGTATCAGTACTTATAAGGTACCAATAGCCAAATAAATGCCAATTCACAAAGTCTCCAATGCTCAATGATGACTTTATTTGTGAAGGTGTTGATCTTCAGAAAGTACCTTAAAAATACATTTAATTCATAATATAGCCAACTGATAATTTTAATACCGAATTATTTTGTTTTCTGTTGATATGAGATATAAAAAACCATATATTTATATGCTGCATATGTTTAAACGTTTTATTAAAAATTAAGGATGTACCCAATTTCCTTAACATTTGAGTTTTCTTCGTTATCCTATCAAATTCTGCTTGTAATAGGCTGGTGGTATATTATAATATATGCCTTTGTAGAAACTTTACTTCTGTTATTTAAAAGTAAGTATATATTTTTATTGTATATTTGCCTAATTCAATAAATTTTAACTGTCTAAAAATTGAGATGTACAGTCAAAAGTCGTTAATTCGGATACCCATAATCCGGAATGATCTATAATCCGGACCTCAAAGCTAAAATATTTCTGCGCATAGGCGTTTTACGCGTGCGCGCAAGACATTTACGACTGCGCATATGCGTCTGCGACGTTTTCGCGTGCGCGTTTAATATATAATGGACGGTATAAGCTAAAATTATCTAATTATCTATTTCACTTAATGTTGATGATTGCGTTGTTCCTTAATCTTCGAATTGGATCCGGCTTATTATTTTTTGCAGACTGTAAGAGCAGTTTTATAAAAGTAAACTTGAACTTTCGATTATGTCAAATAGAATTTCTGATGCTGGAGCTCCCAAAGGATCTAGAAAACGAAAGTATGCTTCGATGTCCATCAAACAAAAAACGAATTGCTACAAAAAATGGATAAAGGCATATCCTTTGTTTATCTAACCATTCCGAAATCTGTTTATCAATTTCACGCTGCTCTGCGCGGAGGGGGAGGGACGTTGCGGCGCACAATGAACTAGAAGTTGATCTGTCGGCACTATCGTTATCTTCAGAGCAGATGTTTTTATTTTATTCGGCTTATAATTCCTTACTAAATGTAGTATTTCGATGTACTCCGTCTTTGATATGATTTAAATTAAATTCCTCGTCATTATAAATATCACGAATACAAATCAAATAGTTTTCTGGTTGCAATTTTCTAATTTTGGCTATGCGTAAGGTATGCTTTACGCATGCGCACGTTCAAAGAAATGTTTAAAGTAAACAAATTATTAAACTTCTTTTTTTGTAAATTTTGATACCCTTTAGATCATAATTGCTCATTATTTTATAAATTACGGTTTCATATTTTTAATTTTATAATTTCTGCATGCCATCTTACCAGATTTAAACTGATGATCGATAATACGGACTCGCCGAAGTCCCGACGAGTCCGGATTAAAGACTTTTGACTGTATTTTAATAGCATTAAAACATCTTTTCTAAGTCGTATCCCTAAAATGTTATTTTAAATGTGTACTGCTAAATCAATAAGTGAGTGAAAATTGTGACAGAATATTTTGATAGCATTTTTATTAAAACAGTGGTATTTTTAAATATTATTTGATGTAAAAAAGGGTTAATTTAGGTTTTCATTGTTTAGCAGTGCCTTTATGGAAACATTTATTTTTCTTATTTTTTAGCTGCTCTCAGAACTGCTTGTTCATCTTTGTTAACTATTTAAACATGAAAGACTTATTTCTTTCTTATCACTTGATTTTTGTTTTATTAATGTCAATTAAGTCAAGTGGTTATTAGATATTTTTTAGGGCTATCTGCAAAAGGAGAAAGGGTCAAAGATTTTTTCTAAGGGAAACAGGCTTGTGTTCACATTACTCGTGGGGAAAACTGTGGAACCCCTATGCTGCTAGCTTGTTTACTACAATTAAAACTCACCTAAACTACCAGTACTCAGTAGAGCCATCACTAGGTTTTTTTAAGCTGCCTGTCTTATCTGCTCAGCTGCTGGTGGATGCAGGTTAAATTATATAGTCTTATTTTGTTAGCTGTGTAATATGTCTAAACCTAGAGGTTAAAACTAGTAAACACTGGTTATTTCATCGTATGCTCAATTTTAATAAATGAATGCAATGAAGTTTTTGTAATTTTACTGAAATATAATGAAAATAAAGAAGAAAATAAATCACTTTGCTAAAGAAGCTTCGGATGGGTGTATCTTCCAATGCAGATAGCCTTGTTTTGCTTGCCATAACTATTTAGATATTAAAAATCTGTTTCTGTTTAAAATCAGAAACATAACTCATTAACATTAAACACGTACATAATTATGGAAATTTAACTTGAAATGTTGTTCTGGATATTTTTTAATTTAGTTATTATATATGTGTGTTGTTACTTAGTTTGATTTTACTGTATCTTTTAGAATTTTATTTTGTGTATCCTTTCCCAAATTTTCTCTCAGAGGTGGCTCTTCTGTTTTTCCTTTTTGGTGTTGAAAGTGTTCGTAATTTCTTAGGTGAGTATCATATTTTTTGACTTTGTATTTTAAAAAAAGGGGGGGAGGAGATTTAACAATTTATGCAATTTCTTATTATTCTTGATTTTGCTTTTGTATAATTACTGTTTCCATATTTAAATCATCTGGTTTAAAATCAGATGAACTATAAGAATCCAGAACCTATGGCATTACTACATTGGTTTTTCCATTCCTTTTTTTTTCATTAGTTTTTGGTTTTACTGATGACTAGCAATTGATTGCCAGATTTGTGGGCATTTGTTGCCAAATAATATAGTGAGTCCAAAACCAAATAATATAAACTGCAAGATTTTTTTTTTTTTTTTTTTTTTTTTTTTTTTTTTTTTTAAGAAATCTTTTCTTGCCTAGACTCAAAATAGTGACAATTTTAAATTTACTATCAAGTCAAAATAAAGCTATTGTATTCTTCTAATTAAGAGGTATTTTATCTGTCATTCAAATCTGGGAAAAATGGATATCAAATGAAGTTGTATATCACCACAGAAGCTGTACAGAGATGCAATGTGAAAAATTTGGAATAAAAGAAAGGCCTTTACATTGGCAGCTGGTTTGCTGATTTAAGAATTATATTCCTGACAGCAGCTAAGATTTACATACAGGCTGTTTTGAAATTCTTGGGCTAAAATTTAAGGGATGATAAAGATGCGTATTAGAAATGCCTTCATGAGTCGTGCATTCGCACCATCTAGTGGTTCATTCGCCCATGCATTGTGTGGTGAAAACTGTGTGTTTGGATATTTTCTGTCACCCCTTAAATTTTTGCCCATGAGTTTTGAAACACCCTATATTGTTGCTCAAATTTTTTTGTATGGTACCTAAACTTCACAACATTTTTTTTTTCTTGGCACTTTGGTCATCATTAAGAATGACAAGTGCATTTTTTTCTAATAAGAATAAATGTCATGCCAAGTAATTAAAACAAGTTCATACTCACATTTGGTTCATCTGAAAAAGTTTGTCTTTATCCTCTAAATGCTTGTGAAGTTCTGAGAATTGGTTATATCTTTCATAGTTATTGTTTTCCCATGTGTAATTTTCTTGCTCTAATTTCTCATATAATTACCTATAGAATAATTTAGTTAAATTATGATACATTAAAAATGTTTTTCATAGAATATACTGTTTTTTCAATGTAAAATCAATTGTTTTCCTTCTAGGGCAAAAGGGTAATCTCACAGAGCGAATGCTGTCTGTTGTTTTATCATTACTTCTCACTGTGCCTGTAGTAGCTGGAGTGTGTTATTTTTTGTGGTGGCAAACATATGTTTTGATGATTGATGTTATTCTCTCTGTAATTTTACTTGTTTTTTTAAGTTTACAATGCCTTTTTTCTATTTTTACTCTGTTTACATTCAAAAGGTAACATCACTAGAGACAGCTCTTTTATTTTTTATATCTAATACTTGATTCCATGCCATTGATGAAATTGTGCCAAATGTAGATGTTATGTACTGCATGCATTGAAACTGATTTGGAATAATTACTTGTTTTTTGAATAATTGGCTGTTTTATTGCATTCATAATATTGAATATTATATTTAAATTTCATTTTGTTTAACTACTTAGTAAATTTCTCAGGTTTTTAGTCCAAAATCAGCGTACAAACTTGACAGCCAGGGCATAATAAGGGGCTTTGTCCCTGAAGGACTATTGTTTTCATTTTGCAATTTTGCGTCGAATCACCATAAACGGCGTATCACTTTTCGAATTGTTGCCGCCAAATGTTAGAGTCCTGCATTATATTTGAAGAAATTAAATAATGAAGAATTTGCATAAATATATGTATGTTTCTCGCATTGTGATAAAACAATTGTACCTAGAGCCATCCAGTTTTGAATGACGTATTTCTACCATGAGTATGGGCAACTGAAAGCCCAAATTTGAAATTTGAAATGGGTTTTATTATCGATTTCATATTTTGTAAAACTAACGAATTTTTTATTAACAAACTCAACGATTTAAAAGGGAGCAATGGGAACACTGTATGGGGATTTAAAAAAAAAAAAAAAAAAACTTTTACCTCCAGTGCGCGGAACTGTGTATCGGAAATTTTAAAGATATGCTCATTTTAAAATTATTTTGTGACATTGCTATTGAACTGAATTTTATGGTTTAAGCGCAAAGAACATATTTAATAAATAAAGGTAACACACAAAATGTTTTAAAAAAATGCCTCTTGCTGTTAAACTGAATTTTATGGTTTAAGTGCAAAGAACATATTTAATAAATAAAGGTAACACACAAAATGTTTTTAAAAAAGGCCTCTTTAGACGTAATTTCAAATCTGAAACCTTTCAGTTTTTTTTTTTTTTATTTTTATTTTTTTTTTTTATTTGAAAATTATGATACTTTAGCCATAGCAAAAAGTAGTAATTCTGACTAATTCTTGTGGAAATATATCGTAACCAATAAACTGTTTCATTCTTGACAATGTATGGTACATATATTGGTGAATTAATTAGGCTGTCTGAGTCTGTAGTTAGAGCTAAAAATGAATAAATTCTTGTGGCAACCATAAGCACATCTCAGTAAAATGGCCATTTGTGTTTCATCTGTATATTTGTGTTTTTCTATATTCTAGTACATATTTGTGTTTGTTGTATTCAGTTTAAAGATATACCCAAACTCTGGTCAAAAAAAATTTGTTACATGAGGATGAACCAGCTGGGGCAAAATTTTTTCTGTGCCAGAAGGAAACAGCTTCAAATTATATGATTATCCTAAGAGTGTAAATAAATCACATTTTAAAATTGCTTTGAAAGATTGTTGTACTATTGTAGCAATGTTGCTTGTGTGCGAAAAAGACATGACGTATTTAGCATTCAGATTTAGGATATGCTTTTAGCCATCTCACCTGTGGGCTAAAAGTCTGCAATTCCATGTTAGCTGTCAGAAACTAGAATACTTCCAACTGTCATCAATAGAGGGTCTACCTCCACAGTGAATGAGATGTTACAGTTTGATGATACAAGTATCATACAAACTGCTCTTTTTAATCTACTCCTTCTGTATACACTTTAGTACACTGGAGCTTATTCATATATCCTTCAGCTTACTGTGGTTTGCAGATGGGCTTTCCAGAACATCAGACTCGCAAGCGAACCTCTCAGTGCAGCAAGCTCACTCATACCTACTACTACACTTTCAAAATATCATGCTATGCAACAGAGGAAAAATTATATAGTGATATTGCTTGCTTGCAGATGTGGCCATATTTAGTGCTTGGATTCAGAGCATGCTTTTAGTCCAGTTGGTAAACTACTTGTTTATGAACTAAAAAAATCATGATTTAGTGCTAGCTAACATGAACTAGGCTGTTTCCAACTTTTACTGATATATGGCACCACCACTATGACCATCAGGAAAATTTACATAGCCAGTTGCTACATCTACATTATACTCATAGTGGTAGTTTTTACTGAATGTTTTATCCAAATTCTGTAGTTATTTCATCTCAACATTAAAAATAAGTATTTTGTGGACTAAGTAGTTTTACAAAAGCAGATTTTGCTATAAAATATGCCAGTTTTGTATCACCTTAGAAATGAGTACATATAAGCCTCATTCACATGCAATGCTCTTTTGCACAGCCACGGTTTGTATTAGGGAGAAACGGGGATATGAAGCAATTTTGCCTTCAGGACCGGTTCAAATGCACATTGTCTTCCATTCCTTAAATCATAAGCCACTGCGAGCAATGATGTCACAAACCCGAATCAGATTGGCTGATTTCTGATGTTTGCTTACATCTTTTTTGAAATTGTTTACTATTGTTATAGTAGAACGCCATCGGAGTTTAACTCTATATTTAATTAAAATACACATAAATTAATTTTAAATGCAATTTATATACGAGACTAACTCTTTAATTAATGAAAATACACATAAATTAATTTTAAATGCAATTTGTATACGAGAAAGAAACAAAATGGTTAAAAGAAGAAAAGAAATCATATATGCTGCTGAACGGTTTTAAATACATTGCTTTATGACTGTTAAAATTTCAAACTTTGCTTTTTGAAAAAATGAATAAAATGACAAATTAATATTATGAATATTAATTATAAATTTTTTAATATTGATTATAAATGTTTTAGAAAATATAGCGTAATTAATTCATGTATTAAATTGTTTTGAACGTGTTTTACAACACTTTAAATAAAGCTTGTACTTTATGTTTATATTAACCAATTAAATAGCTCTAGTTTTATATATATATATATATATTTTTAATATATATTGAAATTTCAGCAATAAAATTTTTAAGAAATTGAAAAATGATTTAATGACCATTTAGATAGTTTACATTCTCTTAAACTGCATTTTCTCAGTTACATTTTTTTCTATGAATCCTTTTACTTAAAGTCCTAAAACTTGTATAGATATGGCCTAAGTTATTTAATATTTTTACTGCTTATTTAAAATTATGTACTTTTTAGAAACAAGGATGGGTTTTGCACAATACTGAAAAAAAATTATTTGAAGTGAAAATGTGCTTGAGATTATACTTATTTCAAAGTTTTTACATAAGAATGTGCTTTTATTTTTTCTCAGAAACTAATTGATTAATTGTAAAATTGATCCTTAAAGTTCTTAAGAACACTCTAATAAATACAATGAAAATTTGGAGGAAAAACATTGAAAATTGTAGGAGAAGAAAGATATTTTAATTGTTAAACTTTTCTTCCAAAAATTTAAATAAAAAAAATTATTAGCAAAAACATTTTTTCAGCTTAAAATCATTTTATCTTACAAAACCATTTAATAATATTCATATAAAAATCAGATGCAAGTTCGTAAATAAAACAATAATTCAAAAGGTACCGAGTCCCCTTGTCGTGTTGAAGCCGATATGTGCGTCTTTAGTTTTAATTTGAATGGTATTTCTGGAATACCCAGCATCAGATAATCTTGTCTGTACTTGTTTAAAAATTTCCGCATTTCGTACGGTTCTGTCTAATGATTTTGGATGATACCACATCCCCAGATATCTACCAATGCGATTGTTTCGCTGACAGTCCAACTAGCATATTCACAAAGCCTACAGACCATTTCTACGGGCTGCTCTCATTGGAGAAAACATCTGCTTGGCGGTCATATTTGGAATAGCGAGTTATCGGCTTGTGTGCGTGGTAATTAACGCCAAACAAAAGGAAACAGCGTTTATTTCATTCGATATTTTTTTTTAATTTATGAATGAAAGCTTAGAGGAATTGTGTGGAATATATTTTAAATAACCCACTGATCTTATTAATAGTTTATTTGTATTTGAATTTAAACTTTTAAAAGCACGTAATTGTTTTACAAGAAAAAGGTGTTTACCTAGAGATAGCATATCACTTTTTCGTCATTTCTGTTAGAAAGAGTCTGTTGTGTAAATTTCCATAGCGCATTAATTTATACAAATAAAGGAATATTAAAAAAATTAACCAAATGAAAACATTCAGTAAACATTTAAGAGCGTTGGATACCTATTCTTTTTATCTAAATTATGAGTAAGTATAACTAAAATTATATTTTATTCCATTATGCGCTATTTCTATTGAAACGCTTTTTGGGATCTTGGATCGTAATCTTGCTACTGGTACCTATTACAAAGAGTAGAGAAACCAGTAAATAAAAATAAAAAGATAACATTTAACAAAAATAGAGAAAATAAAGGCGTTTAATTTTTAATCCGCACCCAGTGAAAATTGACAGTTAAATAAAAATAAATCCGTGCAGAGCAGAGTTTATGAAACTACGAGGGGATAGAAGCGGCGAAGAAGTCTGACAATTTTTCCCGCTCTCTTTACGCGAGCTGCGGTTTCTCCGGTGGGTAATGCCGTGGCCTTCGAGATAACATGGCCTGGTTAGCTGCGAGTGACGTCACGAAAGGCGTCCGATCCTTCCGTGACTTTCTTTGCTTCAGATTTGAATGCGAGCGTTTCGTTCGATGTTTAGAGTGTTTTGTTTTTAATAATGCATAATGATTAAATTTCCAGAGACTTGACGGGAAAACGTATATAAAAGGTAGTATATTCATTTGCAGTTAAGATTAATAACTTAATAAATATTATTTTTAAGAAATATTCACGAAATTTTCTATGCCATGTTTTAGGTTATCTTGTGCATTTTTTTTTACACTGTATTGTAATAATTTGTTAGGATACACTCAAAAAAGAAAGTTTTGAAATAAGGAAATAAAAAGGCTGTTATTTATTAACATAAAAATGTCTTTACAGTTGGAGAAGGAGAGGAATGAATGAAAAGATTTAGAAATATAAATAATTCACTAACAAAAGTAAATATAATTTAGCAAATTAAAAGACATAAAAAATTATTTTTCCTTGAAACTATAAATATAAATATTTCAGGGCTTCCAAACATTATGCAAATACATTTTTAATTCATTTAAATTACTATCTAATAAAATGAAAAGCAGTTCAAAAGCCACAGAAAAAATTTAAACCTCAAAACTTTGTAAATTAAATAAATTACAATTTTCCTGCAACATTAC